TAGCTTTGGAACTGTTCTGAAGTATAGGCGCTCAAGTCATTGTTTGGAACTTCATATGGATCCAAATTATTAATAATGCTGATTTTGTCAACATACCGGTCCCTGGCTTCTCTATTTAATGTGTCCCGGTAAATTTCAGATCCTTTTCGGGATTTTAACATCTTTTTTCTATCTATTCTTTCTCAACTCTACTTCTACGTCTCTTCGTTCAACAACGTTAAGTCAGAGGTATTTTAATGGTCGATCACGGAACATTTCCTCAGTTATGTTCCATGATCTGGTGGCTCTAGCGTGCTGGCGTACTTATCCATTCGCGACATGATATATATGATATACGATAATATGCCACCCAAGATGGCGGACCGGAAGCTGGCCAGTGACGTCACTGAAAACCCCCTATTGAGAAAATTGAACGGTGTAAGCCCAGGTTTAGCCGTGAATAGTCATAATCCATCTTTTTCAGAGGAAATTGATTATTTAAAATCCTCACTATTTAATGATTGTTTTGGTTTGAGTTGGTTTTTCAAAAACATCCTTTTAAATGCAGGCTCTGCTTGTTTAAATGGATAATAAATCTTTGCAGTCTCATCCAGCCAGCATCACTAACCTCTCCTTCTTTCCTCTCCTTATCTTCAGGTGCTTTGCTGCTGGGTAGTTTCCTCTACTGCTGGCAGTTCCCGCACTTCAACGCGCTCAGCTGGAACTTAAGGGAAGACTACTCCCGCGGCGGCTACCGCATGATGTCCGTCACCCACCCGGCCATGTGCAAACGGGTGGCGCTGCGCCACAGCCTGGGCCTGATCGGGCTGTCCACCCTGGCGCCCGTGCTGGACGTCACCACCTGGACCTTCCCCGTCATCTCCCTGCCCATCAACCTGTACATCAGCTACCTAGCCGCCCGCTTCTACCGCAAAGGGGACCGCGACAGCGCCCGCAAGCTGTTCTTCTGCAGCCTGTGGCACCTGCCCATGCTGCTGCTGCTGGCGCTCACCTGCAAGAAATACAGCCAGGGTCCGGAGGAGACGGCGCCTTTAACCCTCACACCGCCAGTGAAATAACTGGGATCCTCCTTTGAGCCTGAGTGCTCCTTCAGTTTCCTGACTCTGCTTTACAGAAAACACACCAGATTTCAATCTTTTAAATGTGTGTGCTGTAAATATATTTATTTTTAAAGGGTCCCTCACCAGTTATCTGTCTTTTATCTGACTGATCAGTTACGTTGTACTGTTTACTCCACTCTCACCGAAAGCCTCAGCCTTGGCAGCTTATGTCGTCGGACGCCATGCTGTCGTAAAGTTTCTAGGATGTGGTAAAGCAGGACTGAGGAAATGACAACGTGTTACTTGATGGTGATTAAATCTCATTTTGCTTTGAAACAAAAATGTATATGTGGTTTAAATTCATAAACCTGCTTTAAGGGATCATTTATCCCCTGTGGGAGAGGAAATAAACTCATAATGATTGTAACTGTTTTCTGTCATGTTTCCATCATGCATGCACGTCTGTAAAAATCACGCTCAAAGCGGCTCGTTAGTTAACGGTTTGCTGTTTGGATTAAAGTTTTAGCTCTAACCTGGGTGGATGTGCTTCACTTTAGGCACAAATCGCCCGCTCTATTTAGCAGGCCGCCCCGTACACCTGTCACTCAACATGTGCTCCCTTTCCACCAAGTTTTCTGGTGTTAGGTTACATTTCCATCACCAAGCACACCCTCCCCTTGTCTTGGCCCAGCAGCACCGCCACCCTCACTCTATAAAACCAGCAGGATTTAGCCAAGGCCGAGAGACACGAAACGGCTCGATGTCGTCGTAAAGTGTCTGACCGGATGCGGAGGGTGGGAGCCAGCTGTTGCAGACGCAGACAGAATGTTGTCGGGCACCTCGGAGGCTGGAGGTGATGAGCCGCTCTGCGTTTCGCGGTGTCTCTGCATGTTTCTGCCGTGAACGTGGAGCTGCTGCAGGAGTTCAAGGTCGTTTCTTTTGGGAAGCGCAATGTGGAAAGGTAAGATTTGATGTCATCATTTACTGGGGATGATTAAAACATGGGTTCCAATGAGACGAAACTTTAAAAAAAAAGAATTAAAATGGATTTTATTAGGATTTTAAGCCTTAGTAATGCAAATAAGTGCTTAGCTGTGATTAGTGCTTTAAAATTCTGTGCAGTTTGAGTTCAGAAACATTTTTATATATGTGCATCGTAAAATAAAAGCTTTTGGGAAAGTAAAAGTTTACAAGAACTCACTCAAATTAATTCAAATACATCCCTAATTTTTTAAGTCGTGCCACTTTATCTACAGATTATATGCAGGATTTAGTTCTGGACTTTAAATGAGTTGTTTTAGCTTTTTTATGCAGTGATCTAAATCAGGGGTTTTCTTCAGAAGAGGATTAGGGCCCCTAAAAAAAAAAAAAGTTAA